CCCCAGACCTGACCAAAACCACTCCCAAGCTGATGACGTATAAGCCCCCACCCCTAACAAGCTGCTGATTGCTCCGTCATTCTGACCCCAGGCCCCTGAGCTACAAGAAGGGGGTCTTATAATGCCTGCTACAGCAGTGACATCTCCATGATGCCCAATGTTTTATTTACTTTTTTACGTTGGGTTTACTGTAGTGTGACACAGAAAAACTCCCTCTTTCGGGGTGCACTGCTGTGTGACTGGTACAGGGTCATCTAACCACCATGACAATCAAAACACACATTTCCATCTCCCCCCACCCCCCAAAAGTGTCCCTGGTGTCTCCATTAGTAGTCAGCCTTCTCCCCTGCCCCTGGGCGACCACTGCTCATTCTCGGTCCCTCCAGTTTTGCCTTTTCCAGAATGTTATATGATGTAATGGAATCATATGGCATGTAGCCTTTTGGGTCTGGCTTCTCACCCAGCACAACGTGACCTATATTGGTGTTGGTGTAAGAATGTTCCTTTTTACTGTCAAGTAGCAGTCCATTATATGTGTGTGCCTCAGTTTACCCACTCACCAGATGATGGATATCTGGATTCTCTCCAGATTTGGGCAATTATGAAAAAAGCCACTATAAATACCTGTGGACACGTGGCATGAATATGTTTTCATTTATCTTAAGTAAAATGCTTAGACGTAGGATTGTTGGTCAGGAAACTGCCAGACTGTGAAGCCATCTTCCAAACTGGTTTTTACCAGTCCCGAGCAGGGGGCCAGCCATCACCAAGAAGGCTTAAAAGCAAGGCTGAAGAGGGGGATAGGAGGGGAGCAAACACTTGAATACTCCACACCCAAGGCCCCACCGGGGACAGAAGGGCAGCAGGAGACCAGGCGTAGGGCTCGTGCTCATCCAGACTCTCCACACTGGGAGCATGTGCCCGTGTGCCGACTGGGGCCTAAAGGGGGTAAGGGGAGAATCCCTCTGCCCATGCTGTGAAGAAAACCCTGCACTGAAACAAACAAAAGGAGAACCCTCTACTCCAACCTAGGCTTAGAACAAAAAGTTCTACGATCCAGTGCAGAATGAGGATAGTGCCGGAAAGCAGCCACGAGGCAGCCTGGCCGCCCTAGCCTCCCACGGCGGGAGACCACTTGCTTCACAGGGCGGTGTTCCACCAGAATAGTGCGGTACGGGCCAGAATGATCTTTTTTTTTTTTTTTTTTTTTTACTTTATTTATTTATTTATTTATTTGTTTATTTATTTATTTATTTATTTATTTTAATGTTTTATTTATTTTTGAGACAGAGAGAGAGCATGAGCAGGGGAGGGGCAGACAGAGAGCGAGACACAGAATCCAAACAGGCTCCAGGCTCCGAGCTGTCAGCACAGAGCCCGACGCGGGGCTTGAACTCACGAGCCGCGAGATCATGACCTGAGCCGAAGTCGGACGCTCAACTGACTGAGCCACTCAGACGCCCCCTGAATGACCTTTTAAAAATGCAGATCACTGGGTCCCTCTCCAAGGGGGAGTCTCCCCAAGAGACTCCACTCAGCTCCCAGTCAAGGAGGCATCAACAGCTGTGCTGACGGCAGGCAGTCCCCTCACACTTGGGAAACACAAGTGCCAGCTGCTGAGCATACGCTAACTCATCCAACCTCACAATAAACCCATCAGATAAGCAGCATTCTCCCCACTTGATAGATGGGAGAGACTGGGGCTCCAAGAAGTTAATTAACTTCCTAGGTCGCAAGATGTAGTAACCAAGCTTCGACCCAAGACGACCTGGCTTCCCCATATGTCAGGGAAGCAAACCAAGGGACGGCCAGCCAGTGGCCCCAGCTGGTGTCCAGGATGAGGCCTGTTCGTCCCGGGATCACAAGGCAGCCTCACCGGCTTTTCCAGCACATTACCTGCATGATGGCACTGAACTGAGGCTCATTCTCCATCTGCTCCTCAGCGATCCCCCTCTGGACACTGGCCAGGACAGTGGACTTGAAGAAGTACCTCCAGTTGTGATGGAGCGTCCGGAACAGGAGCTCAAACAGCTCAGCCTTCACATCAGGGGAGGGGCGCTGTGGAGACACACAGACCCTCAAACCTTCCCTTCCTGTGGCTCAGGGGGGCCACTCACAGCCTCGGCTCCGAGCAGCAAGGAGGCCCAGGCAACGCCTGATAACAGCAAGCAGAGTGTCAGTGTCCCCCGACACTGCCGTCTGGTCCAGTCCCCTTCAGGCCAGCAGTTCAAACCAGGTGTATTTCCGCAGAGACACGATGCCCGGGCCAGTGCCAGGGTCGGTGCCCTTTTTCTGAGGGAAACCCTCAGCCCTCTAAGCCGGGAAAAAACGGCTACCAGATGGCAAAGCAATGAGCAATATAGGTTTCCTGTTTAGAAAGCAGCTGATCCGATCTGTCACCTCTTCTTGGCTGTGTTGTTCCTTCCCCCAGGATAAAAACCGCTGTCCCAGCTAACCTGCTGACCCCATGCAAGACAAGTAAGAAGCTTTAAAGGCAGTTTTGCCGTCTACAGAAGAGGAGTCACAGAGCACCTGGAAGGCACAGAAAGCAGCGTCAGGGGACCTCGGAGGAGGCAGCGTGTGGTGCTGAGCGCTCTCTGGGCCTGTGTCCCCGGTCACCGGCAGCAGGGTTCTGGGAGGAGGGGAGGCTCAGCAGTATTTTCTAACTGAACCAAAAATCTCCAAGTCATTGGAGGGCATGCCAGGTCACGGTATTCCAGATGTCTCTGTAGAATTCAAAACTGTAAGCCCCAGATATATTTAATTCAGCCTTGATTAAAATTAAATTGGGACCAGAGGGCACGAGCTCCCATGGCAGGAATCCTTACAGGGCCCAAGCGTGTTTAACGATGCAAAGCAACTCACTCACTTAAGCCTTAGTTGGGGGACTTAAAAAGGTTAGCTCTTACTTAACTATCACATAAAATTTAGTTAAATTCACACTTATTCTGGATCTTGTCATGCTGAATGTAGGTTTTCTAAGGATGTGGAGTGTTTCTTTAACAACAAAACTTTTACATGGTTCCAAGCACTGGCCTCGTATCCTTGAGACCGGTGCATGGGCTTACTAGTATGTCTTAACAAGTACGTCTTGTTACGGTGTTTGCCGGAGAAAACCACGTATTCACCTAAAGTTAGAAGCTATTTGCCACGGAGGCTGATCTTACTCGCCGACCAGCCTCGCACTTAACCTGCTGTGTTTTCCCTAGACTAGTTCCAATTAACTCGACCAATGAAAAAAGACTGGACCAAGCTAAAGGCATTCTTTCCTGGAAAAAATTATTTTACAGAAAAATAACTAACAAGCGAGCTTTAAAACACTGCATTTTCTTCACTATCTCGTTCCCTCCTCGGCTGCAGAAGCGAGGCAGCACAGGGGACCACCCCAGCCCCTCATACCTCGGCAATGATGGGGTACACCTGCTCCATGCACAGGGAGATGATGCTGGGGAGAAAAGGCTTGAACACCTGGCCAGGCTCCTGGACCACCACCTGCAGGATCTTCAGGAACTTCTCCACCACCCGGCAGCCAGTGCTGCCTTCATGGAGGATGCTCTCAGCCAGCTGTTCTCTGCAGACAAGGGGAAGCACGCAGTAGCCAAAGAAATGCTCTCTGGGGGGGCCAGCATGAAAACCAATGCTCACGGCAAGTGAAGAGAAAGGAGCAGAAAGTCCTAGGTTTTGTGGCCAGCCCCACCCCTCCTTGTCCCCTGGGAGTCTGGAAGCCACGGACAGCGGGTTTGTGGTTGGTTACCTGGTAAACATGTTGAGGAAGGTCTGGATGATCTGCTCCGTGAAAGGCACGCCCATCTGTACTCTAAGGCCTCGGAACAGAGTGAGGAAGAAGCTCAGCATCTCGTCAGTCACATCTAAGCAGAGGCACAAAGCGAAAGGTCAGAGGCGCGAGCACACGAGGGTAAGTGGAAGCCCGGGGCCTGGCTGACCTCCTTTTTTCAATCTGCACTATCCTCTCTCCCGAAGGCTTCCTGCTGGAAGAAATTTCCCCAACACCATCGGAGCCGTGATGCAAAGCGGGAGATGACTGAGGACATGCTGGGACGACGGCTCTGGCCTCGCGAACCTCTGGCTCACAACGGCTCACTAGAGGAAGCGAAGGTCACCTCGAAGCCTCCCTCGCCAGCCGGCATCCAGCGACACCGAGTTTTCACTGCAGGTGGGCCATTTTGTGCTCACGCTGACGGAGCGATTCAACCGGGTCAACACCTGAGTGCTTCTGCCATTTGGCTCTCTGATCACTAATCCCCGCACTTGGGTCAGAGGTTAAGTGGCTGAAAATGGATAATGACTGTGTATTCAGGATGCGTGGCCCTCTATTATTAATGGTCCATTATCATTAATGGACCAATAATGGGACTAATTGCCGAAAACGTTGGTTACGTTTCCTCCGGCTCCACTGGCAGATCTCAACAATCTCGTACAGTGTTCTGGCTCTAACCTCACACACTCCGCTTACAAGAGGCAATCAGTGAATGCTTGCTGACTGACAGGCCCCAATAGTCCTCTCCGAAGACTGACGAGGCTGCTGTAAACGCTCTCCCGAGAGCCAGAAAGAGCCTCTATCGGGTGAGGGAAGGAACCAGGTCGGCAAAACCCACCTTGCCATCTAAGGAAATATGCGGCACTCGTGGGAAAAAGTTCCTTCCCCTCCTTTACAGACCCCCTGCACCTCATCCACTCGTGGCCACGCTGGGAGAAGGAAAAGACTTAGAAGCGAGCCCCAGGTAGACGCCCCAAGTGACTCCGGGCCACACGACACAGGCGCAAGGCCCAGGTGAGGGCTCCACGGGGCCTCAGCCCCTCTCCCCTGCCATGAGCGTCCCTGCCCTCTGCCTTCAGAACCCGGGCCCGCACCGCCAGCTCCTTGTGTTCTGTCGAGCCGAGCAGTCGCTGTGGGCCTTGCAGGCACCTGCCAGCAGCTCCTACCTGACTGGTGGATAAAAGCTGGAAAGAGGGCCAGGGAGACTTGCACAGATTCCTGCAGCGACTGGTAGCAGATCTGCCGGGACTTGGTGGACTCCCCGGAGATGCTGTCCACGATGTCTTCTAAGACACTGAGCGTCTGGTGGATAATCACTTTGGCTGCAAATCGAGATTCAGTGCATGTTATGACTTGTCGGAAGATAAAGCAGGGGGCCGGGGAATACCCGGGAGGGGGCGAGATTCGCAGAAGTATTCGGAGGGCAATCGCAGAAACCCTGCTGAACGAACACAAGTCTCTCTTCATGGGCTTCTCCACCTCTCCCGTCTCTCTCTCCCTACACCCTCTTCTTTCTTTTTTTTTTCCACCAGGACTCTGGCTGCCTGCTTGCTCAGATTTTTGCCTCTCTTCTGCCTCTGTCCACCAGAAACAAGGCCACCCAGAGGAAAAGATAAAACGTGGCCCCCAGTTAGGTGTCTAGATTCTAAGACGGTGAACAGACGGGTGAGACTGGGCGTCCCAAGGTAATCACCCCAGGCGAGAATGGACGGATGCAGATCCGACACCCCTTCCACCCGACGTGTACCTCCCCGCCTGGCGGGACAGCAGCACCCCGCTGGCCCACCTACTGCTGCTACGTTCATGAATAAACTGCCTGTTCGCCCCTTATCCTACTGGGCCTGGGGCCTGACAATATATATGATTATTATGGTATCATATGATGTTATCAACAACATACACTTCTAATGAGACCCTGATGTAAACACGATGCCTTCAGGGAACACAGAGAAAGCAGAGGTGGTGGCCAGCAAATGGGCAGGAGCTCAGAGGACACGGAAAGGGCCCTGATCAGAGGTGCCGGATAGGAATCACAGACGGGCACTTGACGGCCCTACACCCAGACAGGCTCCTTGTCAGTACACCGGGAATAGCCAACAGCCCCACCTTCACGGGGCTGCCGCGAGGATGAGAGACAAGGTTGAGAACGTGTCTAGCCCAGTGCCTGGCACATCGGAAGGTCCAGCACAGGGAAGCTGTCACCATTCCTCAGCACTGGTGGGGCTGGCTCCTCCCCTTAGACACGGAGCTTCCCACCAGCTGCCCTAAGAAGCACCCCCATGGCTCAGCCTGAGCTCAGCAGACTCAACGCTGGCAGAGCTCCAGAGGGCGGAACCAGAGCTGGGCTGAGGGCTGGCCTCTACCTGGTGGGGCTCCCTGGGTTGCCCTGGCCCCTCAAGCTCACCAGCCTCTGCGGCGGCTGAAGCAGCTTCCAGAGAAACGTAAAGCAGAAGGAATAGATGCTCTAGAGGAGCAGGTTTGACTCCTGACTCCACTAGATTCTGTCTCCTCATCTGAAAACGTGGACAGAGAGAGACCACCACCTCACTCAAAGGACTGAGCATGAAAGAGAAGAATGGCTCACGACGGGCCTGCTTCTCTAACGGCCAGCCACGCGGACCTCGGCAAGTGCACACAGGGCACACGCATCCCATGGAAGGAGCCACTCCCTCACAGCTGCTACAAGGACCGGGAACAGGAAACTGCACTCGGGTCAGACGTTTCTCCAAGACAACACAAGGCACAGGGAAAGCAGTTTAGGGGGAAAAGCCAGTAGAGTTAAGAGACCAAAACTTGACCTCTGATGTGTAAGGAAACTGAAATAAGAACCAAAGCGTATTCACAAAAATGTGTAAGAGCAAATGGAAAGCACCGTTAAATATGTAGTAACAGGAGAGATACATAAAGTGTGATACCTTCCATGGAATAGGATGCTATCAAATCATTAAAAACAATGCTTTTCAGAACAAAGGGGTGATGTCGTGCAGGACAAGGATCTGGAAGCATTCAGAACCAGATCTGACTCCCGATCCCACCACCTTCTCTCTGATCCTGAGCAACCTACACCTGCTGAGCCTGGTGGGGGAGGGCGCTTCACAATGGAGAGACTGGCAGGCATTGCTCAAAGCAAGTGATCCCAGAGGGCATGCCAAAATGGGACACACAGAAGTGACACAACGGGAGGTACACATCATTGCCCAGGTGGTATTCACACCCCAACTGCTGGAAACAATCAGACAGAAAAGATTATGGGACATTTTACATGGAAATGGGTTTGGACTCTTCAAAACTGTCAATGTCAGAAGAAACAAAAAACCAGGAATACTTTTCTATATTAAAAGACTGAATAGGGGCACCTGTGGCTCAGTAGGTTGAGCGTCCAACACTTGATTTCAGCTCAGGTCTTGATCTCACAGTTCGTGAGATGGAACCCCATGTCGGACTCTGCACTCACGGTGCAGAGCCTGCTTGGGATTTTCTCTCACCCTCTCTCTCTGCCCCTCCCCCGCTTCTGCACTTGCTCTCTCAAATAAACAAACAAACAGAGATGTGACAACCAAACAGAACACAAGCTCCTTGACTGTATCTTGGACTTTTTAAGAAGCAAAAAAGGCCACTTTGGTAACACCTGGGGAAAACCTGAACATGGTCTATGTGTTAAATGACATTACCGTAATGTCACAACTTGGCTGTATTCATGGTGTTTGGGTTACAGGAGAGAACACCTTGTTCTCAAAGACAAAGGTTAAGGTGTCAAGGATAAAGTGTCGGTAACTTCCTTTATTTAAAGGGCTCTGCTAAAAAGAGGAAGTGTGTGGGGAGGTGGGAGGAAACACGAGTGTGGCAAAATACTAACAAGTGGTAAATCCTAGTGAAAGATACACGGTTGTTCCTTTGCTTCATCCTTCAACTATTCTGTAGGTTTGAAAACTTTTCAAAGTACTAAACTGGGACGGGAAAAAACACTCCAGGCCTGGATTTGATCACTTGCGGCAGGAGGAGAAGACGAACCTCACAGGGCTGCAGGGAGGACCGCACGACGTAACGTACATGAAGTTCTGGGACCCCGCCTGGCACGCAGCGAACACCCCACAGACATTACTCTGAGTCTGTGCACCGTGGGAACCATGGGTTCCATTCAGCAAATAGTTCCAGCAGGTGGTGGCACCCGCTCTGCAGTGAAGCCACGGCCGCGGAAGCGTATGCCCTGGCCGACGAAAAGTGAGCGGAGATACAAATGATGGGTGTCACCTGCAGACCAGTGCTTTAAGAGCCACTGCACAAGCCCCCACGTCCCTGTCCCCATGTAAGCACAGACTGCGGGGCGGCCTTCAGCGGCCTGGGTCGCTGAGTCGCCAGGAAAATAAGCAGGACGTTCTCCAACCCCCGTGGCCCCAGCCGAACACGCAGTGTGAGCGAGAAATACATCTTTCTCCTGGATTAAGCCACTACGCTTTGGGCACTGTTTGTTACCACAGGGCAAACCTACCCAACCCATGCTGGCTGACTGACATAAGCACGTGTAAAATAAAGAGACAAAAGACCACTAGATTTTCTGAAACACGACTCCACACTAGCTGTGTGTAACCCCTGCGCCAATGACTTCCTCTTACCCGAGTTTCCCCAGGGGTAAAATCAGGATAATCAACAGTGCCTAACTCGTAGGCTGATGTGGAAATTCAATGAATTAGTGAATGTAAAACACTGAGAACCAGGACCAGGCAAACACCGGACCGTGAAGGCTGGTGCCGGCTCGGCCGGAGGTGTGATGGCGGGGAGAGGACCGCCCAGGCAAGGGCCCAGCGCTCAGTACACCCTCACGAGCTCCGCTGCTCCCATGCAGCTCCAGAACTAGAAGACATACTTTTTATTTTTTTTTTTTTTTTTTTTTTTTTTTTTTTTTTTTTAACATTTATTTATTTTTGGGACAGAGAGAGACAGAGCATGAACGGGGGAGGGGCAGAGAGAGAGGGAGACAAAGAATCGGAAACAGGTTCCAGGCTCTGAGCCATCAGCCCAGAGCCCGGCGCGGGGCTCGAACTCACGGACCGCGAGATTGTGACCTGGCTGAAGTCGGACGCTTAACCGACTGCGCCACCCAGGCGCCCCTAGAAGACATACTTAAACAGAGAATAAGGGTGACAATGAGAGAATTAAAAGGGTGACTTTCTAAAATACTAAAACCAATGAGATTTAAGAGTTTTCCCCTTCTTTATACCATTCTAATATTTTTGTACAATAAGCATTATGGTAATGTCCCTGATTATGAAAATGTTTTTTTAAAAAATGCGGGTATTTATTGCTATTTTTAACATTTGTTGACATTCTATGAATGATGTTATCCAATAATGTTCCAATACTTTCTCACTGTGAAAATACTGTATTTTTTTAACATGTACTATAAAATTTGTACATCAGAGAAATCTGATGCCTTCTACTTGAACTGAGTTCTCTTGATTCATTTTTCTCTCCCTTTTTAATATAAATAATTAAACTTGAAGTGCCATTTGTGAAGATACCAAGTTCTTTCAAAGCCTCTGAAATACATGCATTTGGAGAAAGGTTAAAAATAGTTTCAAAAGACAGTTCTTAGATCTGCTCTTCCCAGTGAATTGCTTTGATTGCTTATATAAGTATCTGAAAAGGATCAGTCCCTGTACATTTTTTTATCCAAGGAAGGCACCGTTGACGGTTTACTTATTTTTGACATTTTAACTAAGAGAAGGGGTGTCCCACATTCAGGAAATAGGTCCAGCTGACGCGTTCACAGAATTCCACAGAGAAGCGGCTTCTACCGCCGAAGGCTGGCTCTCCCACTTTGCAGCTGAGGGACTACGGACAGATGAACGAATGCCTCATCGGCCACAAAGGAAGACAGCGCCTGGCCTACCTGTCTCCCCGGGCCGTCCCCGGCTCTGGGACACTTACTGTCATCCAGTGGCATCTTCCTCTGTGGGGCCGCAGCACTGGGTTTCAGATCGCGATAGTCCCGTGAGAGCGCGGAGATGAGGCTGGCGTGGTTCATGGAACGTACGGGCCACTGCTGCTCATTCTCAGGCAGGTTTGGCCACGGAAGCAGCAGGATGTTAGAGAGGGCTCGGCACACCAACACCTGAGCCTGGAAGAGACCACCCCCCCCGCCCCAGGTATCCATCAGAGGGTTAAGAGCAACAGCCGCGGCACCGGACGCAGCCTGGGCACCCAGGGCACACGTGGAGCTCAGGCCTCCGGGCTCCTTTCTCACAGGCTGGGCCTAAGGCTTCGGTCCAAATCTAAGGTAAGGCAGGGAGGAAAGTGAAAGTGAAGCAAAAACACCACGCCTCGGTCCAGCGCGTTCCAGGCCCCATCCTGGAATGTCATTTCCCGGTGCTGTCACTGCCCCTCTACTCTGGTACCTGCAGCATTACAGGGTGGGGGAGTCACAGTCACTGCAGACGCTCGGTCTAACCAGTCCCTTAGCTGCTGGCTCCCAACACCCTCAGAGGAGCCGCTGAGAACAGGGCTGAGAGAGAGAGAGAGAGGCTGCCGGAGAACCTCTTACGATCAGTGTGCCTTTGGTGCCAGGTCAAAAGCAATACTCTGCCACCCCGGGTGCGCCCAAGTAACTGCTCCGACTCCCCTCGGACACCACCTGTGTCTTGTTGGTTTTTAAACTTCCAGCCTGAGCCTCCTGAAGGATTTTGTGAAAATCCTTGTCTGGAGCTTCTCAACCCTAAGAAAACAAACGTAACAACGGACTGTTTTAAACCAAAAGGAATGCAAAGAAGACGCTGACACCAGCCAAATCGCTGGCTCTCAAAGCAGCGCCACCTCAGCACCTATCGGGAGGGTCTTTTACATCCTAATCTGCACACCGCCCGACTGCGTCGGGAAGGGCCTGACGACAGAGCACGGAGGCTGCCCTAAGTGCCACCTGGGAGGAAACCGTCTCTGGCGGCACAGCCCGTAAGCTCCGAGTGCGAAAGAAAGGCCAGACTCCTCTTGCTCAGCCTCACGGCTCCAGGGCCCATGCAGCGTGGCCCTGGGGTCTCACCTTATCGACGAGTCGCTGAGCAGAGGCATCGGTGATTCTGTTGAACACTTTCTGCACCGCGGGGATGCTGATCAGAAAGACAGGCCGCACGGTGGTGGCCAGTGAGACCAGTAAGTGGCACGCAGATAGCAGCAACTTGTCTTGGACCTGGAGACAGAAGAGAACGTGTCGGTTCACTAGCTCTCCCGCGAGGCTGCGATTCGAAGAACCCTGACGAGGCAGTCACAAGCCAGATCTGCTGCCAGGCTGTCGTTCCACATAACTCAGGATCTGTGTCCAAGAAGTTTCCGGGGATGGCGCCCAGCAACGAGGCACGCTCCTCTGTGCCACGTCACAGCTCCTGACCTCACGCCGGGAGCGCCACCTCCAGTTCCTCCTGTCCTTAGTCGCTGGCACCTCTGGGTGCGATCGCTTCTCAGCTCCAAAAATTCCATGGCAGCCTCCTTGGCATGTCATTCAAACTACTCGGGATTGTTCACCTCACTCCTCCCGCTCCAACCAAGCCAACGTTTCCTCCACCCGCCTTCCAACACTCAACCGGTCACGCCAGGCTCTCCTGCTTCCTCCCCTCCTCGTGCCAATCAAAAACCTGGTTCAAGGACCATCTGCCCTTTTCAAATTAGCAAAAGAGAAAACTCTTTATAGATACGACGTAATGCTGGTAAGACTGGTAAAAAACAGCACACCAAAGAGTCACGGGCATGCAGTTACTTTCGAAAGAAATATTATTAGAATTTCCTAGAACCACACATTATCCCTAACCTTTAACCTTTAATCCCGCTTTAAGAAAATCACCTAAAAGGATAAAGCTAAGTGCATACGTGCATTTCAGAATGACCTATGGTGATTTTTTTCAAATGCAGGCAACATTAAAGTCCAGCAATGGCTGGATACATCATAAATTATATAAATCCCCCCTCGTGGGATATTGTAACTCATTTACAAATTACAATTACAAACTGAACAAAACCTGGGGCACCCGGGTGGCTCAACTGATTAAGCATCTGACTTCCGCTCAGGTCATGAGCTCATAGTTCATGGGTTCGAGCCCCACGTCGGGCTCTGTGCCGACAGCTCAGAGCCTGGAGCCTGCTGCAGATTCTGTGTCTCCCTCTCTCTCTGCCCCTCCCTCGCTCACACACACTCTCTCTCTCTCTCAAAAATAAACATCAAAAAAAATTTTTTAACAAGCTAAACAAAACCTTACGGAAATCAACACACTGTTAAGAGGAGGACAGAATGCTACGTAGGTTAAGACTACAAAAAGACAGGGCCCAGTTGGTTGCTTGCCCAACTCTTGATCTCAGCTCACGTCATGATCTCGTGGTTCACGTGACAGAGCTCCAAGTCGGGCTCTGCGCTGACAGCTCGGCGACTGCTTGGGATTCTCCTCCTCCTGACCCTCCCACACTTGCACTCTCAAAGCAAATAAACTTAAAAAAAAAAAAAAAAAAAAGACGAACACCTATATGCTCCATAATATAAACTGATGGTTTTCTCAAAGGACAGCTGAGTAGAAGCTGTCAAATTTACTTGGGTGCACCTTTGACCCGGTAAATCCACTTTCTGGAACCCATCCTACAAGGATGTACATACCAAGAACTAATTTCCATCAACAGGAGAATTATAAAACATTCCCACTACCAAACAGCAGTGTTTTAGAATGGGGGATTAAAGAGTACCATAAATTTTCGGTCTATAATTTAAACAGTGTTGAACTTCTTCACAATGAGCATGCATTCATGTGGGACTGAGGTTAAAAACTTAAGCTACCTTTGAGTTTATATGGACCACAGCTCAAAAGGAACATGAGACGACACGTGGTTCTATGGTAGTGCTGAGAATTATGGGTCTAACACCATGCGATATTTTGATTTTATAATAAGTGGGTATGTGGACAAAAGGACAAGGACTTAGATACAAAGTGTAGCCCTTGGGGCGCCTGGGTGACTCAGCTGGTTAAGTGTCCAACTCGATTTCGGCTCAGGTCACGACCTGGAGGTTCGTGGGGCCAAGACCCGCGTCAGGCTCCGTGGTAACGGTGCGGAGCCTGCTCGATGTTCTCCCTCGGCCCCCACCCCCCCCACCCCCACAATAAACAAACTTAAAAAGCGTAGCCCTTGCTGCCTTAGGACCTTGGTGCTGATCAGAGGTGTGACGGCATCCATGGTGGTGGAGACAAGCGTAACAAACTGCTGTGTGTTCTGCCGATGAGCTTCGCTGCAGTACTGCGCTAGCCAGTGAGAGTACGCCTGGAGAGCAGCCAGGGACTGGGCGTGCCTGCAAAGGGGAGAGAAGATGCGATTTCAAAGGTTAAGGTCAAGACATATGAGCATCAAACTTGTGTCCACAGCAAGTAAGGATTCCACTCATTGCCATTTCCGTTCTAAGACACGCGAGACGGCACAGAAATCACGTACTCGCTCAGGTAGGACCTAAAAATCAAAACTCATCATCTAAATGTTGCCACCACTGCCTGTGACACAGAAAGCAGTCAGTTCTCTGTGAAGCTACGGCTCCTTTTAGTGGACAACGAATTTTAGGAAACAAGAGCCTGGGGACTTAGGGGTCTCACCGCTCCTAGGACCTTTTAGGGGACAGGGCTAGGATTCAGGCAGACACCACGTGGAAATCAAACTGGTCGCCACCAACCGGGCGGGCAAGTTGACCTCAAGCGCCTCAGACAGGACACAAGAAGGGCACACCGCCACCTATCTAGTGTTCTCGCTAAAAATGTTGACCATCGATCTCATACAGATCAACAACCAGACAAATTTCGATTTTTAAGATTTTCCTTAGGAAAAAAAATTAAGAGGGTGCCTGGGTGGTGGCTCAGTCGGTTCAGTGTCTGACTCTTGATGTGGGCTCCAGCCATGACCTCACGGTTTGTGAGTTCAAGGCCCGCATCAGGCTCCGTGCTGACAGCGCAGAGAGCCTGCTTGGGATTCTCTCTCTCTCTCTCTCTCTCTCTCTCTGCTCCTCTCCCACTTGCACTCTCTCTCTCAAAATTAAGTGAACATTTAAAAACAAAAAAATTAAGACCTAAATCTCCCCCAAAACTCCGTTTCTCTTTCCCTCATCTGACTCTCCTCCTTTCCCTCCCTCCCACCAACATGTACAATCTGGGCAGCTGATCTAGATTATGGGAGAGAAATGTAGTATGGGATTCATGATTAGTTAGACACTGGATCCAAAGAAAGAAGGACACTTCTTAGGCAACTGGAGAAATTAGAGTATGGAAAAATATATACAGGGGCGCCTGGGTGGCGCAGTCGGTTAAGCG